TGTTCCCTACTATGAGACAAAGCCAAGCAACCCCTTCCTTGCCAGTGCTCCTCAGCAAATGCATTGCATTTGCAATGGTCATTGCAATCTTCTTGCCTTGTTGGTCCTGCTCACCTACATCTCTGGAGTTTCTTCCCATTCAATCTGGTTTTGGGTTGTTTGTGAAGAATTTGCCTGTTTGCAAAGGCACCTGACTCTTGCACCCAGTAAATCCTACTGGATGGAGCCCGACATCAGGGCTCCTGTGAACATGGCACTCATGCAGAAAGAGCACAAGTGCAGCCTCTCCTCCTTGCAGTGGTGCTGCTGCTGGAAGCAAATGATTTCTGGAACAAACCCTGATATGAGGCAGCAAGTGCGTCAGACCTTATAGTAGAGGAACCACGTGTTTGAGTTTCCTGCTCCATGAATGAGTCGGGCCAGGCCTGATTCATCACCGAGGCATGCTGGGGAGAGAGGCACTCAGCTCATTTCCTCTGCATTTTGCTTGTTCCTGCAAACGTAGTGATCCCAAAAATGCTGAGAAACAGAAGAGCTGCATACCAGGACAGCAAGTGGTGGGAGGAGAGGAGATGCAGAAAGACAAAGACTGTGAGAAGCCTTGCCTCCAAGCACTTTCCCCTTTGCTCCACCATTCCTTGCACTTGCAGCTAAAGCACTGCTGGGGCTGTGGCATAGTGCACGGAAAAGTGGTGCTGGCATAGTGCATGGAAAGACACTGGAAAAGGTGCTGGAAGCCAGTGGGACAGGAGCAGTGACAATAAATGTTAAGTGTTAAATTAATGTAAGTAATGGGTAGGTGAAAGTAGATAGTTCACTACTAACACAGACGCTGCAGTGTTTCCACATTTCATTTCATTTCATTTCATTCCATTTCATTTCATTTCATTTCATTTCGTTTCATTTCATTTCATTTCATTTCATTTCGTTTCATTTCATTTCATTTCATTTCATTTCGTTTCATTTCATTTCATTTCATTTCATTTCGTTTCATTTCATTTCATTTCATTTCATTTCGTTTCATTTCATTTCATTTCATTTCATTTCATTGTCCTCCCTATATTTCTTCCTGATTGCTATAAAAAATATCCTTGAAGATCTGGCCATTCTTATCCCCATCCAGGGAAGAAAAAAGCAGGAAAGGTATCTCCTTTCTGAGTCACAGTTTTTTGGAAGCCACGTGTGTGCATGTGTGTTTGCATGGCTTGTCCATGCTAATGTGTAAAGGTCTCTCTAAGCTATAAAAAATGAGGAGAGCACAATGGCATTTCTTTCTACTCCCAAAAGAAGCCTTGAAACTCAGCACTTAACCCTCAGCCACCTCTGCCCTGTGTGGAGGACAGACCATGAGCTGCACTGCCCAGGCCTGCTCTGCTTTGGTGGTTGCAGGGCTGGCATCCCATTCCTGGCTGCACTTCAAAGCACCAAAGCCTTTCTGAGCAATATTTCATCTCTCAGCCTGTAACATCTCTCTTCAGCTGTGCTCGTGGCAGCAGCAGCAATCAGAGTAGGAGGTAGCAGCCTTCAGTGTCTAGCTGGAAAGTCTTTCACACCTTATGTTTAACCACTGCTTTCAGAATTGGTTTATAGGCATAACTATCCATAAACTGGGAGATTTTCAGGCAAAAAATGAGGGTTGGTAAGAGAGGAGACCAGTCCGGCAATCCTACTTTTCATATCACCGCTACTGCAGGATGGTGGGACCCGGTCCTGATCGGGGGGAGGTAAGGCAGGGTTGGCAGCAGGATCTGCTCTGTGTGTGTGACAGCAGCCCCAAGCTGGTTTGCCCAGCAGTGTGCCCTTCTCCTCAGATGCTCAGCTGGGCCTGGAAGAAGGTGAGATCCTGCCTCGTGGTCTCTCCTGGGATGGCAGTCAGTGTCCCACTTGTGCAGAAGCAGGAAAAGAACGCTTTCCCTGCAGTACTGGGGGGATGGATCTGGGCAAAGTAGGAGCAGCAAAGGTGTTGCCTTGCAAAGCTCAATCAAGACTCACAGCCTCACTATCTTCCCTGGAGCCACAGGTAGTATTGATGTCTCCATAGTTCCCGCTAGGGTGGATGCCATGGCAAGGCATGGTGATCCAGGGACAGGAAAATTTCCCCGAATCTTGCTCAGCTTTTCCTTAAAATAATTAACACTGCACACATACAATTTTTGGGGATGTACCTCTCCCACACCTGCCTGAAAGACTTCACTATTGCCCAAGAAGGAAATAAAAAGATGCCTCACACTTCATTATCTCTTGTCTAATTTTAAAAGTATTTTGAGAACGTTTTATGGATATTCTATCCTAGATTACAAATAAATCATAAACTATTTAATAAGGGGAGGTGTCTCCTATGTAGATGGATATATCTGCACAACTGCTTCTGGTGAGGTGAAATGGTTCAAGAACTCTAGTGGCCTTATAACTCTCTATGTCAGCCTTGCTTTTCCCCAGGACTCTGTAGGGCTGGCTGTTCTTCCAGGTGAAGCTACCGTGAGTCTTTAGCTCCACAAGGTCCCAGAGCTGTCTTGATTTGGTTAATGTTATTTTTTCCATTGGTGCAGTTGTAAAAAGGGTGTGTATATATGTATGTACATATTAATCTAAGTGATAAACAAATAAACTATGTCAGCTCTTAGAAGAAAAATACTTTTTCATTTAAACTAAACTATGCAGTTCTGATTCTTCTTCTACTAATAAAAACACCTTGGCACTGTGATTAAACAATTCACATCAATTGTGCATGTTTTAAATTTTCAGAGCAGTGCACAAAGAAAATCAAAACTGAATGCACTATACTAAAGAACGGACGGGCAACGTTTCAGCTACCGTGTATGCTGCTCAGTCAGGGCAATGTGCTCAACAAATCTTAGAAAAAAATCGAGGTATTTTGTGTGAAAGACATCCTTCCTGCAGCTGGATCTGTTTTTATAGTGGCTCCTGGATTGCAATGTCAGTGCCAGACATTGTAAAAGGTACATGGAAATTGTTCCACTTCATGTTGCCAGCGACAGGTTAATGCTAATGAACAGTGATTGGGAGTTCTGAGGTTTAAAAACAGTTTCATGTTTCCCAAAAGTTTAAGAAATATTACTTTAATTAATATGGTGCTTTGCTTCTTATGCAGAACAGCTTTATTTGAATTTTGCTCATATAATGATTAGTTAAAAGTCCTCACTCCATTCTGATGAATAAGGATATACAGGCTTGGATGAGAAATTTCTCAGGGAACGTGCAGGGAAAATTACCAGAAATAGTTCTCCTGGCACACAGATATTAATGTTCCCAGAGGAAAGAAAAGCAATAGACAAATTACACCTTCAGTTCGTTTCCACCTCAGTGTTAGAAGTTTCATGTAAGAGGAGAAAACTGCAAAGAGCTCTGCCAAGCTGTTTGCTCTCCCCCTCGCTTTCAGCCGAGGGACTGGGAACATCCTCTGACTTGGACGCGACAGGTCCTCATTTTCCTCCTCCCGTGGGACTCCCGGGCCCGCAGCGCGGGAGGGCCTGTGGCGGTCTCCGAGGGATGCTCGAGGGGTTGCTGTGCCGGGTACAGAGCAGGAACCTCCCCGTCCAGGAGAGAAGGCAGATTCGCCTGACCCACAGAGAACCGGACAGCTCCTTCTTCCTTCCAACCGGTGCTTTCTGTTTCTAGTTCGGCTGTGATTTGCTCCCCACTTAGCTGGAGTCCCCCCCGTTGTCCTGATGGGGAAGCTGTTCCTGGAAGCAGGGAAGGCAGGCTGGGCTCCGGGCGGCCGGCAGGGGCTCCGCTACCCATCTTCCCGCAGGGAAGCCCCGGCCGGGCTCTCTCCCTGCTCGGAGGAGCCGAGCTCTCCTGCGCGCCGGGACAGACCGAAAAATAGCACCCCAAAAAAAGTCCCCTGTGCTCGGCAGTGCCTCGGGAGGCAGCCGGCCCCCAGCCTCTGCTGGGGTGTAAAAACAAGTCTGCGGAGAAAAACCACGCAGAAAGCTACTCCGGGACAGGAGCTCATGCTGCAGAGAGGTTTCTCCTCTCCAAGACAGAGTCCGAGTTTGCGAAAGACTTGGAAGGGGCGCAGGAGCTTTTCCCAAAGGACAAGGTCCCTGAGACCAGCCCTACCCCCCAGATATATCATTCTGCTCTCCGCCCGGAGAGCACCCGTGATTTTTCTGTTGCATTCCTGGGCTCGCATTCACCCCTCGAAGAGGCGAGCGCGGCCCTGGAGCCGCGGAGTCCCCGGAGCCCGGACGGGCACGGAGCCGCGGGCACCTGCGCAGGGGCCCCGCAGCTCCGGAGGAGGGTCTGGCTACCTGTGCCGGTCATCGGGAGCCGGTCATCGGGGGAGACAAATCCCGCCCGCAGGACACGTGGGCTTTTTCTTTTCTAATTTTTAAAAAATATTTTCTCTCTTTTTTCCTCCCCCCTCCCCCCCTTTTTTTTCCTAAAAGCAAAAGAAAACGAAAGAAACCAGGTTCCAGTTTCCAGAGAAGTAAGTAACAGTCCTGAAAGAGTCCTCGGTAGAGCCGATGCCCTGGGGGGACTGGAAGGGACGGCTGCGTGCCAGCCCGTGGATGGTCCGGGATACTGGGGTCTGTGTCCGCGCTCCGACCTACAGCTGTCCGCGGCAAGGAAGGCTCTCTTCTCCTCCGGTTTCCAGCCCTCTCCGTGCACCCAGGGTGGCACACACCGTCCCTGGCCACCTGGGGCCCGCCTTCCCCGGGAGAAGCTGTCCCGTAGGGCTCGCTGAGGCGCGGACGGCCCGGGGGAGCGGGGCCCAGCTCGCCGCCATCCCGGCGGCTCCCTGCGGCCTCCTCCGGGGCTAGAGCCCACAGCGAGCCTCTCCTTGCCACAGCCCCGCATCTTACATTGATTTCCGGGGGAACGAGAGTTTCGGAATTGAGGCACCGCGTTTCCCCGAGGGAAGGCTCGAGTGGGTCTGCGCGGCCCGGCCCGGCAGTGCACGGCGGAGGGAAGCTCTCGGCTCTTTTCCACGTCCCATCCTTTTCCTCGTCCAGGGCCGTGGGGCTCCCCGCGGCTCACCGAGAGTCCTGCTGCCTTCTGGGGACTAGGCTGGGGGCGAGAAGGTCCCTGGAGGCTCCCGAAGGAAGGTTCCCGGCTGGACATGCCTGGAGATCCTCCTTGGTCTGGAGCTCCCCGGAGGACACCACGCAGTCTTGCTCGGGGTCGTTGCTGTTGCCCGCCCCTCGCTTTTTGTCTTCTTCTTTCTTCCACTTCATCCGCCTGTTCTGGAACCAGATCTTGATGTGCCTCTCGGTCAAGTTCAACATGACAGCCAGCTCCACCCGCCGCGGCCTGGAGATGTACTTGTTGAAGAGAAACTCCTTCTCCAGTTCCAGCAGCTGCGCCCGCGTGTACGCCGTCCTCGTCCGCTTGTTCTCCTCCGGTTCCACCACGTAGGATCCCCCTGGAGAGAAGCGAGAGTCAGCCTGGGCCCGCCCGGCCGCCCCCTCGGGCTGCGGGGACCGCGAACCAGGCTCCCTGCGCTGGGGGGAAAGCAAGCGGGGTGAGGGGGAGGCCTCGGGGAGCTGTCCTGCTGGCCAGAGCGGGGTGCTGCTGCTGGAGGCAGTCTCCGCTGCTGTTCTTTTATTTTACAATAATTTAATAATTTTTAGCAATGGTTTGGAGGAGGTTTTCAGGGAAGCTCCCTCTTAAAATTAAATTTAAAAAAATAAAATAAAATAAAATAAAATAAAATAAAATATAATAAAATATAATAAAATATAATAAAATATAATAAAATATAATAAAATAAAATAGTAAGAACGGGAAAAGAAAAATCTCCACCACACACACACAAACCAAAGCAAAATTGAAAAATTTAACCCCTCAGAAAAAAGTCTCCAAAAAACCCAACGCACCAAAAAAAAAACCTTTACAGCAAAGCAATAATAATTATAATAATTAGTGGGCCTGCAGGGCCGGGCCGGGAGCTGGACCGCAGCCGTTTCATTTGGCCAAGCTGATGAAACCTTGAATTTCTTGTTCACGTCAAAAGCGGCAGCAGTGGGACTGCGGCTCCCAGCTCGGCTGCAGCAATCCTGCGTGGGCATTGGGGCCCGGGGAGTACAGGCGGGAGCATCGGAGGTGGGCACGGAAACTCAGGGCCACTCTTGCCAGCGTCAGCGCCCCTCTGGGAACGTTTTTGGGTTGATATCGTCTGTAGGGAACGGTGCTTTAAACAGCCAGAATGAAACAATCATCTCAAGAGAGATACGTGGACTCTCCCACCGCTCCCATCTTCCTCTTCCCATGATTCTGTATTTATATATACAGTGTTTATAAATATAAACCTATGTTTAAAATTTAAATATGTATTTAAAATATGTCTTTAAATACACATACAATGTTTGCAAAGTGATGTGTATATATCTACTTGAGTATATAAATAAATATTAAAATCAATGTGTACATGTATAAAAAATGTTGGAAAATCGAAACCTATGCATGCATGAGTTTGTATCTGAAAAAAGCCCACCTTGTTCTGTTACTTTAAACTAAACTGGAGCTACCGGGAAGGGGAAAGGCCCGGAATCTGTCGGAGGGTCGAGGTCGGTCGGGCACCGGGACGAGGCCGGCAAGCCCGGGGCGAGTGGCGGAGCCCGGGGCCGGGCATGGAGCCGTGTGGCCCTGGCCGCCTTTTCCTGGCAACAGCGCAAAGCCCCGCAGCATCCATGGACACCTAAATCCCAAGGGTTTCCATGAAAAATAAGTCGTCGGGCCGCACACACTGTACAAAATATGTCGGGGTTTGGCTGTGAGCGCTCTGTGGCACTCGGCACAGCGCGGTGCCCCTTTCTCTTCCTGCGCCGTGCTCCGGCAGGAACCCTGCACACACATCACACCGGTCATGCACGGCCCCTGTCTGCTCCTCCCGGGAGGGCTGGGGGCAACAGGCAAGAATTTTAGGCTTCCGCGGGGAAAGTTTCGTTTTCCTGCTGGTTTTCTCATTCTTCGGGTACAGGAGAAAGAGGAAAAAAAAAAAAAAAGAAAAAGGTGTAGTTCGAAAGTTTGACTACCTCTCTATCTATCTATCTATCTATCTATCTATCTATCTATCTATCTATCTATCTATCTATCTATCTATCTATCTATCTATCTATCTATCTATCTATCTATCTATCTATCTATCTATCTATCTATCTATCTATCTACCTATCTATCTATCTATTATTATTATTATTATTATTATTATTCCTATTAGTCCCGAAATTCACTCAACTCATGGAAAACAATCTGGTTTCCTCTCTCCTTCTCCCCACCTTCGCCCTGGCACCATCCTTGCCGCCGTGTCCGTGGCCTGGGACAGCACTCTCTTCTACCTTTGTGGGCGGATGCGCCTCTAGGGAGATTGGGGACCGCCACCTGTCTTTCCCTCCCCCTCGGCCTGCCCCATGCAATTCCCAAACTATTTCGTGGAGATTTTGATACTCCGGTCCTTTTTCCAACTGTCTATTTGAACAAAGCCATTAATATAATATTTGCCGTATAGGCGTGACGGAGGCGCAGGACACGATAACATTGTGCAGGCAGAGACAGAAATATTGTTGGGCAGCGGAACTTTCTGCCTAGATAGAGTTTCTTCCCCCCACTGGCAACTCCGTTTCGTTTGTGCATTGTTTCCCGTGCCCTGTTTTTTTTCACTTGAGAGGTGCATTTGTGGCTAAAACTCGCCGGGGAGCAGGAGGAGCGGGATAGAGGGGACGGGAGGGGAGATGGGCTCTGCACCGGGGAGAGCCGAGAGGCAGCCGAGAGGGGCTCGGCGGCTGCCCTGAGGGCTCGGGGCTGCTCCGCGGCCGCACGGTGGGCGCAGGGACGCGGGGCAGCGGGGCTGTCCCCTCCTGCCAGCCCTGTCTGCCGCTTCCCCGCCCGCTCCACCTCTCAGGTGCCTCCGCCACCCGGCCCCCGCTCGGGGCTCGCCGTGCTGCCCGAGGAAGCAGCTCCCGGCAGGCGTCACGAAGTCCCGGCTTGGCCACAATTACTTAATTGGTGAAAAATAATTCGTTAATAATTGCTGAGGCGCAGGGAGCGGTGAGCCCGCCGGAGGGGACTGGAGTGCCGGCTCCTTCCCCAGCGCTCAACCTAACGTTAGCAGCCCCAGAGCAGTGGGTCTGCAGAGGCTGGAGAAGGGGAAGGGATCCTCCAGGACCTCTCCACACTACATCCGAGCGGCGAGAGCAGGACCGGGGCAGGGAAGGGCTCCTGAGAGCGAGCGGGACAGAAGCGGGGGGGACAGAGGGATGCGGCGGGGCTTACCGGTCCACTGTCCCTTCCAGGTGTGCGATTTGGTGGACTTCATCCAGGCGAAAGGCACCTGCACTCGGGGCTCCTCTATAGCCCCCGTGTCCCCCGCGTCTGCGAAAGGCAGCGCGTCCTGGTGGGGAGGAGGAAGATGAGGGTGGTGATGGTGATGAAGGTGAGAGACCCCGGCATCCTCAGTGATGGGGGGCACCTCGTAAGGTGAAATGTCTGGCGGGCTGCCTTGCTCGAGAGCCCCTAAGGCGCTGGAATAAGGAGTCTGTTGCTGCCTGCCCATGTAGAGGCAGGCGGGGGGGCTGGGGGTGTAGTCCTGCGCTTGGGCTCTCTGAAACGCACACGACTCCTTGTAGAGCTGCGCCGAGGCGTAATACTGCTCCTCGGTGTTCATGGCGAGCGGGGCCGAGGGGGCTTCGCAGCTTAGGGACACATAGGGCTGCTCCCGCCCGCAGAGCCCGGGATGCCTCTTTGACAGCTGGCGGCCCCGCCGGGCCCCACCGCCCTGCCCGGCTCCCGCCGCCTCCCCATAGGCGCCTCTCCCCCACGTGAGCCCTCCCGCAACCCTCCGGGGCGGGGCGCGGGCCGTAGGAGGCCACCCGGGGTGGCCCTGGTCCCGCAACCCCCTTCGTTCCCCTCAGCCGGGCGGACCCCGAGACCCCCTACCCTTCTGCCGGGTGCTGCTCCCCGCTTTGGGGTGAGGAGCCCCGCGGCGGTGGGCTTGCGGGGCCGGGCAGGGGCTCAGGGGGTTGCGCCGATGCGCGGGGCGCTCCGGGACGGATGGTCCTTAAACACATCTTTTCCCTGACCCCTTCGCTTGCCCAGAAGCTGCTCATCCCCCAGTGACCCCCGGGCGCGGAGAGGAAAACCCTCGGAGGGTCGGGGTAGCCTCGGCTGCTGGAGGAGTTTAGCGACAGGGCCACTTTCGGCTGCGAGGGCATCTGCCCTAGGAATGTGGGTGCCCAGGGACGGGCAGGGCGCTCCCTCGGGGGTACCCGTGTTCCGGAGCCCTGGGAGAAGGCCAGCTCCGGCCGGTGGGGGACCACAATGCTATCACCAGAGCGAGCGATAGGCAGCGGATTGTTTGTCCAAGAGGTAAATTTGGGAGCCTTCCCCGCGGCTTGGGCTGCAATGTGTTGACCCTCGGAGATAATGTGCTCCGAGCTGGTGCCGGTTGACTTGGTGACGAGGCTATGAGGAGGCGGAGAGCTACCGAAAAGGACAAAGATCATTTCCCTGCCTCCCTGAGCTTGGCCTAGCCGCCGCTCTCCCCTGCTCGGGTGCAGGCACGCTTCCTATCTGCCCGGCCCGCCTCCTCTCGCCGCCGCTTCCCGGACACCGGCTCTCCGGCCGCCGCCGTCGGGGCGCTCTCCCGCCGCTCTGTGGAGTGCAGGTGCTGGTGGCCCGACTCGGCCCGGCTCGGCTCGGCCCGGTCAGTGGTGATGCACGCCCTGAGCGGCGAGGCAGGAGGGTCCCGGTACCTCGCTCCTGCGCCCGGTTCCATGGGATCATAAACCCGCCCAGTCCATTACACTTTGGGTTTCCGCTCTGAGCTCACGCGGGTTGCCCATCTCTTAGAAAGCACACTGAGCCTTTGATTCAATATTGAGCCATTAAGCGATTGCTTTCCCAAGCCATTTAACAGCAGCACTTATGGATAAATAAACAAAAAAGGCTGTAAACCAATTATAGTGCGGATAGTGAGAAAGTATTTTATTAGCGGGAATTACAGATAGACATGGCTGCTGCTCGGGCTCTCTGCTCCCGGCACCTGTCCCCTCCATCCCCTGGCATTCTGGGCAGGGTGCGCGGCCCGACGGGGCTCGCAGACAGCGTGCGGCCAGCGGGGATGCGCAGCTCCCTTCGGGAGTTCCCCCATCCGCGCCCGAGATGTCTCCTCTCAGGTGTCTCTCAGGCACGGCTGTCCTCTGATCCGGAGACGTCTTGTGCCCCGACCCCAGAGCAGCACCCACAGCCCCTTTCCCAGAGATCTGTTACCTGGAGCATTTACTGCTCCGGGTTTTCCACGGGGAACCGGCGCGGACAAACAAACCCGAGGCCATAAAACCCAGAGCAAATTGATTCATCTCCTGGGAGGACCATTACCCGGTGTCTTAATGCGGTCCTCTCTCTACAACGAACGTTTCTAAACAGAGCAAACACTTCACCCTGCAAAGCAAATGAATTTCCTATAATTTAGAGCTAATTCTCTTTCATTCTGCCTGCGTGAGCAGGCGATAAGGGCACGCTTTGCCGTTCTGACAACAAGGTGGCGAGCTGCGGTGCAGGAAAATACCCGCTGGGTATCCCGGCACTGGGGACCTCGGCCACGTCCGGGGCATGGTGATGTCCGGCAGCCCGGTGTTCCCGGGGAAGGTGAGCCCGACTGGAACCAGATCCCAGGGACCACCTCTGTCTGCTTCCTCGACCTGGGATGCAGCCACTGATACTTGGCTTGTGTCCTTCCACAGCTGGGGGTTCCCAGGAGAAGTCTCTGAGCAGTGAAGGTGTCCCACTGGAATGGGAAATTGTCCACTTGATGTGGAAAATGGATGATGGAGGAGGCCGATGAGAATGATGGGAATGGCCAATGGCCTCACTTGCCCTGGAACTGGGCTCTGCAGACACAAATTCATCCCTGAAAGTGGTCAATATGCATCACCTGAGAGACTTGCAGAAGGGTGTGCATACAAGACATCAAAACATCTTCTACTAAACTCCCAGAATTTTGTGCTCCAAGGAGTTCCCAAGTGCTATGAATGTAATAGTCCTCAGCTAAATTTTCCGCATTTTAAATCTTCCCTGAAACTTGATGTAAACATTTTGCCTCTCACCAGCTTGCAGCAAAGTGTTCCCCCGATTAAGTGTTGCCATGTGAGACACTGGTGACCCTGCCGCTGACTGCATTTAAACAGTCTTAATTTTCCAACTAGAAGAGCCTTGAGATGTGTAGGCACAACGTAAGAGAGTAAAAGGTACATCCTTGCCTCTAGCTCATTTGTGGACTTTGAATGATGAGTCCAGGTTCTCCTGTACATACATTGTCATCTCCCTGCTGAAAACTTCCCCGTCTTCACTTCCCAAGTCTGGTTTTTGGCAGGCTTGGAATGACAAGAAACTTGACCATCCTCAGTCTGTAGGCAGTGAAAATAAAAAATGGTTGATACAAACATCTTTATTCACACTGGTAGATGTACAGTCAAGTTTTAACCATTGAAAACAGAGAAAAGTAATGGACATTTCACGCACAGGAACAAATCAACAATGGATCAGGTAGAATTTCCCCACCCTAAACCCCATCTGGATGTATGCTACAGTTCAGCTGGCAATCCTGTACTTTACCTGTTCTAGGAAGTTTTAAAGGACTGCAGAAGACCCTCATAGCTTGGGGATATTTATGGCTGGCACATTTGCTTAAATCCCCCAACTTCATCCATGGAGCTGAAAAGTTCAGTGTTGTGTCTCATACATGGTCCCAAAACCCAATTAATACAGTTGTAGTTCAGGCTGAAAACAAACTCCAGATTTCAATATCTCCAGAGGAGACTCCAGAATCTATCTGGGCAGCTTGTTTCAGTGTTTTGTCAACCTCAAAGCAAGGAAGTTTTTCCTCATATTCAAATGGAATTTTGCATGTTTCTGTTTGTACCTGTTGTGCCGTTTCACTGGACACCACTGAAAAGAGTCTGACTCCATCCTCTGGCACTCACCCTTAAGATATTTGTATGCATAAACAGAAATTCTTACAGTAACCTTGCTAGTCCAAAAGATTAGACAAGAAGGAATCCATGATTCTGTAGCAGTAATTACAATGATGGTGATAGCAGCAGTGTTAAATAGAACAGCAGGTTGTAATTATCCTCAATGCAAGCACAGGATTCAGATATTCGAGCAGCAGTAACAAATGCTTCAGGTGCACAGCTGCTGCTGTCCTACAGTAACATCACACAATAACTGCACTGCAATACTTGAGTTAGCATATTAGATTCAAGTATGTTTTAAGGACTTGTCAAGATTCCATCACATTCCTCTAGCCTGGTGTTTGAGAGAGAAGAGACAATCTGCATAGTTAACTCATTCCGTATTCTATGAAGCCTAGGACTTTGCAATATAATACAAATCTCTGAATGGCCGGGGGTTCTGAAAGCAAGTTCACATGCCTAACATCATATCCATGTGGTTTTAAAATGTGTGCCAACATATACAATATGCCTCTTGAAATCCAAGGGCATTTGCAGTGTTCCTGCCTCTAAATGGTTAATTCAGGGGATTGATGTGAGTCACTGTTCTTTGGAAGTCTTCCCCAGAAGTGTCTGACAGACATGACTGCAGGCTGCTGAGATCAGTGAAAAGTAAGGCCATCTGGATGCAGCATTACCTTTTTTCCCTAGGAAAGGTGACAGGAGCATTTTGTTTGCCTTTCAACACAAATAATTTGTGAACCCTTACTCAATTAGCTCCCTTTCCTATTATAACCTATGGCAGTTTTATCATTCCTCCCACCACCCTGACTGTCTAATTAGAGTGTAAAACAGTAAGGAGTATAGTTCAGTCACAGTTCCTAAAATAATCTGGTTAGATTTTCTCTATCTGTATAATATTTAATGACTTCTCAGTGCTGAAACCCTTTTCTGAAATCCACATTTAGACAGAAAAGAAGTACTGAAGGTGAGTGGAGCATATTCACAATAATCTCCTTTTCTCTCTCATCTGTGCTCAAACCAACACAGGTAAACTCAATCCACGGTGAGGGACCTCACTGGGAGAAGTTGACTGGGAAACAGAGCTTTCCCAGAGATTGATTTTTAACCCCCCACCATGGCTGTATCTAGCAGAAAGGTAACCTTTCACAAAGCTGGTTAATAATCAATAACCATGTGAAAACAAATCTGTCTTTCTCTCTTAGAGCTAACGATAAAAATGAGAGCACGAACTATTCCACCTGCCCTAAAGTAAGACTGGTTCATCAGCTTTTTTTTTTGGCAAGAAGCTTTTGTAGGTCTCTGAGCGATTCAGCTTTGGCACACAGCAGGTTCAGTTTGCTCTTCCCACCACACATCAGCTTCTTCACACTGCAGGTGTGAGAGAAGAGAGCTTGAACTGCAGGAAGACATGTTTACGCAGCCATTTTAAACAAGACCTTGTCCAGGAAATACATAGGGAATTTGCCTTGGCAAAGCTGGGAATAGTAGAGTCTTTTATATATGTAGTCTCTTTTTACACTTTCTAATTTGCACCTTTGATTTTTTTTCCATCTTCTCCAAGATTAATTATTTCATTATCACCAGAGAGTGATAATGAAAGGGAAGCACATTTTCACTGTCTCGTAAGAAGGGCTGAGGAATTACTTTTGAATACTGTGAACATTCCCACTGAAAACACAGCTGTTTCATATTTTTTTGCCCCACAGTTTTCTGTTCTCTACTCAGTGTTTATTATACCAGATAG